GAGATAACCTTTTTATACCAGATATGAAACCTAAGAAATTTAAAAACCTGTTGTTTTAAGTGCTTTTTACACTTACCAGAGGATCCACTTCTACCTGATTTTCTCTCTATCCACTTAATTCATTCAGGATCTAAATTATATAATCATTTCATTAAGAATTTTATTGTGTTTGTTTCTTTCTTTATTCTATTATACGACTTAAACGAATTTATTAAGTGAGATAATGGAGTGTAACAAAGTGACATTGCTGGAGGGTTGATAATCTCACCCTAATAATCATTATTTTCTCATACGAACAGCACTAGATATTTATACACTCCCACACACATGTGTATACACACATAAATTCAGAAACAAAGTTGCCTGCATATTAGTCAGAGTAAAATAAGTATCTTTGAGTGGGCTCGTTGCTTGTTCGCGCCATGGCCTTGCTAATTAGCCATCAAGACTGATGACTATCTGTCCAACCACATGTCCCTTAGAGTATTGTGGGCCTCAAACATCCGGTTTACGTCCCTATATCCTCTACAACCTGAAACGTTCCAGGGATTCAACGAAAAAACACGTGTTCTTAAGTCAATCGCGACCATTCTCTTTCTTTTGTGCAAATTACATCTTTACTCTTCATTCCACTCATCATCATTAAGAATGTTTTTCTAACATTAATTAATGATATCGAAAATGTTTTTTTGCCTTCTAATTGATTTAAAATTTTAATAAAATTTATCATCAAATTTATCTAAAGATTTAAAGGGTTGATTCCAAAAGATTATTAAAAACTTTTCCAACATAAATATCATTTTATCTTTCGTCCATAATAATAAATCATTTCCTAAATAATTAATTTTTAAAGAAGAAAAAAAAATAATTGTAATAAATATTTTTGCTTGAAAGAAAACAAATAATCTATCCACTATCATAATTAAAAGATAAATCCCAATTTTAATGAAGCCATTTAATTAAAGAAAGTAGTTAGCAATTAGGAAAAAAATTTATCATGGGTATCTGCCACGTATGTATAAATACCAACAGTAATAAAGAGCTCATGGTGAATTTGTAAATAACTTTAGTTTATACATAAACACCTGAATCATGATACATTGTAAGAAGATACAAGTCAGTGGTGTATACTTGTTGTTTAATAAACGTATGAAATAAGTGTGTACATATATAATACACTACTTTTTTACTCCTCATCATTACGTACGTGCAGGAGACGGATAGGAGCCGTGAATAAAGTGAACGGATCGCGTGTCGATCCCCGCCAAGATATTTGCTGTTACTTTATAGTTGTGTCACGTCTTTCTGACTATACGAGAAAACAGTAAGCCATTGTTTGTAATCAATAAACGTATTTCTTTCTTCAAACTTATTGTCTGAAATCATGGATATGTTTCACACTTTCATTTTGAAATTTTAATCAGTAGCCTCACTTATATTAGAGAAGAGGAAAAAAACATTTTTCGACAGTTGAATCATCGAATATACATGTGGTATTAGACAGGAGATTTTTCTTTAAAGAGTAATGACAAATTCAAAGATGCCGCACATGAACCAGGAACCTCTTAATCTTCAGAATAGTGGCGTCTGGTCAGTGGGACATATTCTGCAAGGCGGGGCCGTGTCTCGACGGCTGAGGAATCATCGTAGAATATTTAAAACGTGCACCGGAAAAAGAGAGGGAGACAAAAATTCAAGAGGAAGTGAGCAAGATGAACATGACGATGATCTCGACATAAGATGACGCCCTACTGGCGCCGTAACTCTAAATTCTTTCCGTACCACAGGATCCCATAAAATCTATTTTCTCGGTTTACTGCTTTTTCGGACCAACTAAACTCGTGTGATGAGAAAAAGAAATATATATTAAATAAAAAAAAACAACTCGTGAGCCCTCTGACCCTCTGAGGAACAGACTTGAAAACTTTCCACTTTGAATATTGTGTGAATTTTCTGAATAACTCGGAAACGATTCACCTGGTTTCTCTAATATTTTTATAGATTTTAAATAAATTTTAATAATATCTATTTATTGGTTTAACAGATAAAGTCAGCTGAATTAATTTCTAAATTATCTTCAGGAAAAAAAAATTTTCTAGTAAATTTGAGATAATGATTAGATTGTTTTGATAATTAAGAGGTTAATTAATACATTGTTATGTTGTTGGAGGTAACATAAATTTTAGGGGAAAATCAGTTGAATAGTTTTTAAATAAATTAACAAGATAAAAACTAAAATAGTAAAACGTTTGTTTGTTTTTATTTTATTGTAGAAACCTCTTCACAAGTTTAATGCAGTAATCTCATGGATATTAATCATTGACTTGAAATTGTTTTTTAAATATAATTTTCTAGAAAAAAATGTGTAATTCAGTAATTTATCGTTAAAAGAAAATCAAGGCTTGAGAATATTAATAAAGAAAATGTCTAGAGTAATTTTATATCTACGACAGGTAATAAGAAGACAATTACGTGAACTAAATGAAGCATCGGGTGAATAATGGTACTCGGCAGAGGTGAGGATTGGGCTTGGTATGTAGAGGAGGCAACACGCGTATGCTTGGATATAAGATTACAATTAGCTGGAGGAGTGCACGGTTGTATATACGAGAAATGTTTATCCAGGGGATGGCTGGCTTCGCGAAAATGACTCGGGATAATAACACGCATAAATCAGAATTGTTAATATTCGGGGGCGTATTAGTATAGATATAGAAGGTGTAGTTAAGGTATTCTCGCAATATTCACCAACCCACCTGCCTTGGCTGGACAGTGTCTGCATACTTCCCCTTATTCTGTCTCTCTTACTCTCTGGACTACTCCAGGGTGACCGCAGGGACTCGAAATAATACTAATGTGGGATCGGTAGATCATTCGCGGTCGGTCCAGAGAGGTATCCGCCTCCTTGTTAGTCAGAGTTTACTTAGTCCTTCGGGTGCTTCCATGCTCTAATGTTACGCCTGCTATTAGCCAACCGTTAACTAACTACCGTACATCAGTCTACTAAGATTCTTTTTCACGCCGTGTTTTTCTAAACTCCAAACAGATATCCATCATTCGAGTCATCACCCGTCAAATATTTCAAGATTTAAGCTTCTAGTTTTTGTTAAAATGTCATCTAGATATGCTACGAAATGAATGGTTTTAAAATAAATACAAGGTAACAGAGAGTAACAAAATAAAAAACAACACATAATCATAATAAAATGGGCGGATCTGCACTCTTTAAATCAACCTGTAGTCAACTACATCGTTTTATTAATTCTCGTGCTCGGTTCTCGATGCCTGTTTATTTGTCTAGAACGAGTAATTGGAATCTGATACCATCTGTTATTATATGTATTCGTATTGAAAAAAAATAAAATTATAAAAATTCTATTGTTCTTGATTCTATTAGCAGATATTTGTTGAATATTTTTCAATAATACAATGATAATTGTTTCAAATCGGTGTTATATTTTTAAAATATCGCCGCAATTAACACAACTGCACGCGATTTTATTTCTTCATGATTGCTAATTATGATTGATAGCAAATCTGAGTGCATATAGATATTTTCAGTTTTATTTTTTTTTCCAAAGTCACGACTTCTGATTTTCAATCGTAATGCTTTACACGTTTTCCGATGAGACATAATGAACACACGCGGCGACGTCATTTCTCTATACAATTCAATTTCAACAAAATAACTAGACAATTGTTCATGCCGGTTACAGTCAAACTTAAGGTCACGTACATCACATGTATGATCATTATACGGGCTCATAAAAAAAGTGACTAACCATGAGCTACGGTAAATAGGAGATACCAATCATGAATTTTTAACGAAATGTATATATGACGATGAAATCCACTATTTTCTGATAATGTCGAAATTATTATTTATTTTTCATTTAAATCTTATCTGAAGAAAATTCATACTATATTGAATACTCAATTTAAAAAATATATTATCAACAATTTCACATCAAAATTTAGTTTCAATTGTTTTGGAGCAAAATTACCGTTCATTTCATATTTTTGTATAAAATTTTATTTTTAAAAAAAATTGTCTACCCTTTTTATGGAATAAAAAAATTATTTTAAAACGTTTATATATTTATTTGAAAAATCTACTTTTGCAGGTGGTGTATTTTCCATGAGTACACGAAACAAAAGGTAGTAGCTAAAAAAGCTCGTTCGCAATTTCACCGAGGTCATGTTTGGTAAAACAAAAAAAAAAAGCCAAGTAGTCGGTGCTTACAAATAAGGATCATAGTCAGGTAGCGCATATCGTGACGATGTTATTCACAAACACATGAATTCGACCATTTATCCCAAGGGATGAAGTCGGTATACCGAACATGAGGGTGGATCTCCCTCGTCCAGTAAAATGAATTGAATAGAAAGCCCTACATAGTTTTCAGAATTTCCCAATCTCATTTTCCGGCTTTTCACACCAATGTATTGCAAATATTGTTTTTACATTACATTTTCTCATAATTTTTTATGAAATAAATTTTAATATTTATCAAAAAAAACAAATGTAACAATTGAAAAAAATTGAAATTAACAAAACATCCAATAACTCTAGAGAATTGAACAAACGTATGTGTAATTTTGAACAATGTAATATCGAATGGGTTACACCGGCTTGTCTGATTGCCATTCGGGGCCGTTTGGATTTATTGACCTGTCATCGAGATCTGCCCTCGAAAACGGCAAATTCGCCACACCGCAGGTGTCAAATTTCATGTGCTACGTAATAACGATTACAGTTTTGCAGGGGTGAAAGAGAAAGAGGGCACTGTATTGCCACTTTAACGGTAAACCACACACCCGTAATTATATTTTCAAAACGATCATTATAACGTAGTAAGACCGTAGATAATGTCTTACACTATGATCCAGCTTGATACTTCAACACCAGAAATTATCGGTAAGATATTTCCTAATATACTCAACCTCCCCTAACCCATAATAAAATATAATTATCATCTATATAACTCTGTAAATCTTACCTTCTGTCTGACTAAACGGGGCTCCTCAGCAGCTAGCTTTGCTAATGTCTGATAGTCACCTTGTGCAGCTCTTACCAACCATTCGCGAGCTTTGCCATCCAGTTGCTATGAAATAAAAATATTGTGTGATTAATTTATGCACTAATAAGTACGTAATACTTTTAAAGTAGAGTAATGATACAGTTCCTATTTTTTAAAATAATAAGTATAAGTTTATTGGAATTTTGTTTTTTTTTTTTACTGGCAAAAGTAGTTTAAAAGGAAAAAAATTATCTATGAAAAAATTGTTTTCAACTTAACATTTTTCATTAATATAGCTATTAAAATTTTTTCAAACTTCTATTTGCATAAATATTTGAACGATAATTAATTTTTATCATGAAAAAATTTGTAAAGAAATTGACTGAAAATTGTCAGGAAACTAATTTTATGATTTATTTTCAAAAATATACATATTTAGAGGCTTTTAGGTATCTTTCTACCTGAACCAGAAGCATTTCTATTAATCATCTCATCAATATTTATCTACAAAAAAAATATATTTATTCGTTATTAATTTATAATTCTAGTCAAATGCCATTCAAATTTCTCCAGACCAAGAAATTTTTCAACTGTCAACTTTTGATTTCCTCATCGAGAAAATATAATTTTTAATTAACATTTTAACGATGAATAATGGGATACTGATAAGAATGTATATATTTATTTAGAGAGAAAATTTATTATTATTCCTGAGATAAAATCTTGTTAATTTAAAAAATATACTCACTGATGCCACTGAAGCACTGTCATCCTCGTCTGCTCCCTGTGGAAAAAAACAACAATGTTAGTTTATCTATGAGATGGTACAGCATAAAAAAAAGGAAAAGAAATGAAGGCGGAGTGATTAGTCTGGTACGTTGATAAACGATTATTCATCCTCGTTAAACTGTTTGTCTTTCTACTCTCTTCATGTCTATAAGATCTGTATATACGAGACGTCTATAGTGACATACGGTACTCTTCCGATCGAGCATGACTTTTCACAAATGCTTGACTCTCTCTCTCTCTCTACTTCTCCACTTTTCTTCTGCCGAGTCATTATTAAATAGGTACTTTCAATATCTTTATATTCATCACGCGTTTCTTTCTCCCAGGGGAGGATGTGTAAATCGAAACACTTGTTTACTATTACCAATCATCGCGAGATGTGCCAGGTATAATAAATGAATAATGACTAATGATATTAATCATTATAGTTTAAACTGAAAATGATAGGTGTGATTAATTGTTTCCATATGATACTGGATTAAATGCTTTCCTATAGTTCAATAATTTAGCAAAAAAATTGCTATTCAATTGATTTATTTCAAAATTACATCTAAAACTTTTCTAAGAATATTTTTTTAAAATTAAATTTTACATATTCGCTAATTTTCACATGACATTTATTGGCAAATTGTGTAAACAATGTTTTGTAATAAATTATTTAATGCGAATAAATTATTGCCCCACTTGAACAAAGTCTCTATTCAACTGTCACAAAACAACGTATCATCCATTCCCATGAAAATTATGTTAGAAATGATTAATCGTTTAAATGTAATACTAAATTTTCGACTAAATGAGACAAAGTAATAATGTAGTTATGTTGCCAAGTATACGGAACGAGGTTAATCGTAATAATATTGTAACATTTGCCTTCGCCATTCCTTTGAGAAGACATCTACTACACTGTATGAGATATATGGAAAGCAAGGTACTTGAGAAGTTATACATGGGAATAGAAAGAGAGAAGAGCTCTTGAGATTTAACGAAGCATGCTTATACTCTCCCAACACTTGGCTAATTCCATGCACGCGACAGACACACGAGTTTTGATGGCACCAGCAAAAAGTTGAGACTTGGCTCGAAAAAAAAGACCTTCGAGCATCATATAATACAGCTGATAAACGTGTGGGTACTTGATGGAGATGGAAACGTTTTAATAAGCAAGCGTTGTGCACGTGTCTCTAGGGGAAGTCAGCATAAATATATATATATACATATTAATCTCGTTTATACTCTGTGTTGGTACAGAAAGAGACAGAGTCACATTGTTGAAGAAGCGCAATGAAGAGAAGGTAGATGGGGTGAAACTAACGACCATGCTGAACGTATTGGTGGGTGATAGAAGAGAGTATGGGTGGTGAAACGGGAGGCAAAACATGTTACGACACGAGCAGTCTCGAGTGCTCTCTGAAATTAGCTTTATTATAACTTGGGGACCATCTATACCTACCATAATTGCTAGTGAACCTTTATATCTACTTTACTGATGAATACTTGCTCGGATAAACATTCAACAATTTGATAAAAGAAAAAATATAAATTAACAAAAAATACAATACTTTGTAGCTACTGTATTACATCAATTTAGAATGTTTTGACGGCGGCCAATGCACCACTAACCTATATAATGAATGGTCAATTCTAAGAAGATACGACTTCGACCTTTCGCACAATTCTCAGAAAAAATCACTCAATACTATATACAAGGCATGAATGGGAATTTTTTTCTTAGATACCTACTCCTTTATTGACAAAGTTTTACAAGTTACATAATGAATTTATTCATCACAATATATGAAATTGAATTATCAATTAAAATAATTCTTTATCTTGCATTTATTAAAAATACAAAAGTCTGATTATTTTTCAAAATATCATTTGTATTTACTTGTTAAGGTAAGAATAAATGTTATTTTCCAAGAGTAATATGTTGAAAGAATTTTACAGAAGCAAAAAAATGAAAATATCTAGCAAGCAAGATGAAGAGTAGCTTAACTATTCAATAATGAGTAGTCATCTCGCCGTCAGTGCTAACGAATGGCTTAAAAAAAAATAGACTTTATGATTGCGAGGTGTTAAATGAAGAACGGAATTAGTTAGGTAGGTATGCGAGATCGATTATGCGATCTGCGGATAACGTTGGTCTGATTTATTCCCTTAATGGGCGTTCGCGCATTCATTTCGGTCGGACGAGGCAATTCCAACGAGCCTTCGTAGCTGGCGGCGCTCATCGCGGTACTGTTGGTGACAGGAAAACTCTCGGTGGGTGATTCAGCGTTTGGTACGGCGACGCCTACCAACGTTATCCCGCCATAATGCCTCCTATCCGCCTACCCTTCCTACCAAAATCTACCTACGCCACTTTCATTGCTGGCTATCGTTAGCTTGTCATGTGTGCACTCCAGCTTTATTAGCCGATCCCGTCCTAATAGCATTTCATCATGTGGTTCATACACATCAGCCAATTCTCATCCCAACGATTAATAAATTTTCTAAGAGATTGTAGGATGAATAATTGGTATCAGAATTGCTAAATTAGTTTTCAAGGGATGTGCAGTAGATAATTCATTATCTATTGGTTGTGTTTTCCTCCAGCAGAATCGGAAATTCAACCCTGAATAGCAAACACGGAACCAAACTACTCATTCCTATATTCTCAATGACAGGAATATTCGTAAACGAACCATGTACCACTCGCTATATTTGCTAACCCTCTATGCATCGTATCATGTCGCTATATCACCGTGTAATTTACTGGATTATGCCTACTCGACTTGTCTTCTTGTTCTCTCATCATGTTCGCACAATTAGTTTATCAATGACTAAATCGTACATCCACTAGAGTTCCGTCTCTATTATATTCCAATTTTATTGTTATTTTATTTCGAATTAATTTAAACCAACTAAGTTTCAAAGAGAGATTGTTAGTAAAGTTTCATAACCAAGTATACCACTTTCTGAGTCATGAGTGTGCGGTCCTGATACTCTGCTCTCATGGCTAATTCCAAAGTGTAATCTACGGGTACCATCTCAATGGATTAGCATATAGATAGACCATCGACGTCACGATGACCATTTTAGTGCAACGTCTTCCAACACACTGAATCAATTGAGCTCCCCAAAGTGGATGCTGGAACAATTGCTACTCCAAGTGATTTCATTAAATGCAGTTAAACGACCGGCAATTCAGAAGATGATGCTGATTACTATTGACATATTAGGTAAAGTATTTTATATTTAAAAGCATGAAGATGGTTAGCAAACACCTTGGGAAGACGGAAGAGTTCAGGCGGAGATGGAATAAGAATCCAAGTCATATGGTCGCAAGGTAATTTGTGCTCACAGCAGGACTGAGCAAACATGCACGGTTGGGGGTGCTTCGAAAAATTAAATAACTCGATGACTGGTCACATTCTCTTTGCTGAGGCACATTGGGTTCGTCTTCTCTGGTGAGGAGAACGCGAGAAGAGCACACGTTCTTTGGTGTATACAGAAAGACGATGCACAAGAGTGCAGAGTCTAACGGGCCCTGTCACATCGAATGACGCTGCCCTCCTACCACATGCTGGACATCCTCGTGTCTGTCTTGAGAAATATACTTATGTATATCCATACATTGAACGAAGGGAAAGACTCTGTTGGTGAAGAAGAATGAGCAAAGCGAGTGAAACGGCAATGAGAGTAGGAAGAGAAAGAAAAGATTTGGCCCTCGACGGGGATTCGAGAGTCAACGAAGAACCGACCTCCCGGGGACTTATGAATACAAATAGCCGCTCACTGCGCGATTCATAGATCTCTGATAAAGAAAAGTCGTCTTCTGACTTGTCCAAATGCTTAACTTCATATTCATTCAAAAATAAACTTCATACAAACCTCATTTACCTGTTGCAGATAATCCCGATTTTGTTCGTTAATCAATAGACATTACTATTTAATGAAATATATCTAATCAGTTGTTATTCTGTTAAATGTTGAACTAAAGTGGTACAATGTTAAGAAATTAGAAAGCTGAGAATCCCAAGATATCTTCTAAGAGCATATCTTTGGACTAATAGGTCCAAATGTGTGTAAAGTCTTTGGTATCTTTAGATATGGCGGTTAAGAGAGTGCAGAGAAACTTAACAACTTGATGCTACTACATAACAGATAAATTACATTCTAGGATATCTCCTATAATGTCAAATAATTTACCTCTATTAATTATAATTATAATTGTAATCATCATCATCTGATATTGAAAATAATTGAAATTATTTTAATGATATAATTCCTGATATTGCATGACAAGCTCTTTTCAAGATTCATAATTTATTTTTTAAATAACGATTTTTTTTCATCATCCTTTTATTTAAAAAAAAAAAAAAATAATCATAAGCCATCTATAAACGTAAACCTAGTGGACCTATATAAGAATCAAATGGATAGAATATAAAACTTGAACTAATCGTCTTGGCGTGTGAGAGCGAGCTAAGATTCAACAGCGCAGATAGCAAGGATCCAGGGCCAGTCTTACGCCCACTCAACGTCTCAAATAAATGAAAAAGAAACTCGTTTATTATCTATCAAAGTATACGAGAAAGAAAAATGTGAGCAAGACATTAGGCGCGCCTCTAGGATTTCCACTCATCTATCATGCTAGAAGAAGCTTCTCATGAATGGGATGTCAAGTTGACTGTGCATATGTCTCCAGTACTTAGAACACAGAACATATATAAACTCATAAACAAAACTAAAAAAGTGTATAAAATAAAAAAGATGGTAGCTACTGTCTGCTAGACACGCGCATAATTTAGCAAGCACTGGAAGTTGTCGAGACTGTCGTCGACTTGAAATCACGCAAGCTGCGCCTCTCGTAACCCTCTTTGCATATACATTCTGTAAGATTACTTTGTGCGGTTTGCACCCTTCACCCCTCGTCTCTTTACCAACTACGCCACCTTGTGCGTCTTCCCGTTTCCCTCGTAGAGAGCTTGGCATGAGCTTTGCTAGGGGCCAAACTACTACCCAAGTTTCGTCTTCCTTAATGTATGCTGAAACTATACGAAATTCGCAAGTTTACCCGTTGGACCGGGATATGCAGGGTTTCACGGTACCACTCTCTTGCTCGTCTAGTTTCAACACTTCTCTCTTGACAAGAGACGTACGAGGGGATCGCGAGAACATGCGTGATCTTAATTAGTGAAAGGCCTCAGGCCTTTTACAGAATACGTGCCTCCCGTCGCGGAGGACAAGTTTATTTCACTCCAGTATATTACTAAATTAAAACACATATTAAATGTCAAGTAAACTATTGATATCAAGTTTTTCCTTTTTAGTGAATAATCAAGGATGATTGATAGTTACAGAATCACCTGTACACTGAGTAAATGATGATACTATCAAAATATAATAAACAAGATTGAACGTTTGATAAATAAACACGATTTAAATAAGACTGGTAACAATAGAAAAGCTTTTAAAATATTATAACTAAATTTATCTAGAGTAGATAAATTAAAATTAATTAGAACTATCTAACTAAGATCATAATGAAAGCTTTTTTATTTTCAATTTATATAGACAGAATAATATTCATTGAATAGAAGTCATTAATAAATTTGAATTAATTTTTAATAAAAAATTAATCATCGACCATAAAATTATATTATATTTAGAAAATTTATCAAGATTTTTATAGAAGAAATTTATTTAAAGAGAAACAATTTCGCAGAATACTAATAATAGCCACTAACTACCTGGTCTTTTTCAAATCACGAATTTATGAGTAATAGATATTCGCGATACTTGAAAAATTGCATCCTTCGGAGAGAGAAGTTTAGCGGCACGCGACACCTGACTCATTGAGAATGCAAGAAGATAAATGACAGAAGCTATAGTGCATAGTAATGGTAAAAAAAACCACACACGAATGAAAGATTACAGGATTTCCGGAGTTAAGGTGCTGCGGAACCCTTTGCTTTCAGTGCAGTAGATGAAAGTTAATTGATAGAATTTGTATATGAAAGCCTTACCGCATTAAAAACTTCCGAAAATAAAAACCGATGCATAAAAAAATAAATTTAAAAACGAGCCGAGTACATAGATGTGTTTCGAACCTTATTTCCTTTTCTTCATATATCTACTTCTATTTCATACGCATACATGTTGTATTACTCTTTCTGATTTTATCGTCAAACAACTTGTCATATTAGAGGATTAGGTTGCGAAAGTATCATACCTTGTCAGAACGCTTCTTAGTAGGAGTTGTGGTACCGTTTGGTCGACCATGAAGATCAGTTTCACTTGCCATCCGGTTGAACCGTTGCATTCGTTCACGAACACTTGGCAATTCTGATGTTCCAAGAGTCTCTGTAGTTTCATCTTCCTGAAATTTTAATTTATTTCTGTAAATATTAATGTCAAATATTAAATATTAAACATTATGGCATATTTTTGCGTCGTAATTTGATGATCTAAAAAATATGGTAATAAATTCCATCGTAATTTAAATAATGCATGCAAAATATTATGAATCAACCATTAAAATCTATAAAATATAAATATACATGAAAAACTCACCTTGATCGTAGGCTCTATCTCGTTTTTTCCTTTGTCAGCATTAATATTTTCTTTATTTTCCAACTTCAACTTATCTTGACTTTTTCTTCGAGGAGGTACAGGTGGTGATGAAACAGGCCCAGTATTATTACTTTCTGAAGTCTCACTACTTGTCGGTCGACTTCTTTCATCTTGTGAAGTTTTTAATTTAGAAGGAATTGCATAAAGTTCTTCAGGTGAAGTTAAGTCTGCTGAATATGATGTGTCTGATAGATTTGAGGGGCTGAGTGGTGCAGGTGGTGGCGGCCTGTATGGTGGTGGATCTCGAAAGGGTGATGTTGGTGTAAAAAAATCAGGTGTAGGCACTGGTGATTCACTTGATGTAGGATGATTCGTCGATTCAAGATCTTCTAAGCTATATCTATACTTTTTCTTTAATCCTAAATATTTTTCCCCCTAGAAAACATTGATGATTTAAAGTAAAATGTGTATAACATAGAATAGGTCTGGCAACGTTGCGTGGCATCTCAACAGTCGCGACGAAGCGCAACAAGTCGTGCCGCTCCTGTCAGATGAGCGGTCACGCCACTTGGAAAAGAAACAAAATGCCAAAGTAGATAATGTTAACTTACCTCAACAGTTTTTATTGTCGCCAACAGATTTACGTATTCTTTAAATTTATTTCGTGCCTCGACTGTAAAATCAAATAAATAACCACAAATTATCAAACTGTTTAAAGAATTTTATCTAGGAAACACTAACCACTGTGCTGTTTACACAACACAATCAATGCTTGAGTCACTTTATAGCACACACATATGTACACTTGACACAGCGAAAGGTAAACTGGTCTGACAGTCGTTTGGGGGAGATTTTCAACAAAATTAACTTACCTCGAGTTTCCGGATCAGTTAAAAAACTCTTGAAATGTTTTACTACATCACGATTTCGCGCAATACCACCTTTTTCTAATAAATATTTGCGTATCTCTGATAACGACAATTCACTGGGCGCCACCATATTGGAAGATGGCGTCATGCGCAGCGCCACTAGTGATTACAGTTCAAAACACAATCGGTCGGTAACCAAGCAATGTGGCGTCGTTCGATTGTCATAGCGTTTGCAAGTAAACCATTTGTCTTTTTTGCATTATAATAATTACGCAAAAAAGAAATTAATTGTCAATTAAAATATCACAAAAAATGTAAAAAGACTTTAAGAAATTTTCGAAAGTTATTTTGTTAAAATCAAAATAGTTTAAGCCAGGAATTTTCTCATATTTTTCATAAACACAAATGGATTTTAATGCGCAGTAAAAATTTTAAGAATTTCTTTAACTTAGAAAATGATTCATTTATATGAAGTAATCAATTTTGGCGCCAATCTGTCAAAAATATACAAATCAACAAGATAACCTATTTAAAGTTATTTTGATGAAGGTTAAACGAAGGAAATTAATGTCACGCCTGCAACGCTTGAGTATTTTATCACTCTTGAAAATCAATCATCAAGAGATGATGTCTTTTTTGACAAGAGACTTTCTCTCAGGTAACGTATATTTCAATGATAAGAATATAAATAATAATTATTAAAAGCATAATAATAAAATATAAAGAATTCAATATTGCCTTGATTTTTGTACCGGGAAATTTAGATTGCTGACAATTTGATTAATTTACTGTTGAAATGTTTGTTGTCATCCTGAATTAAATATGAATTTTAAATTATAAATTTAAATATTTGTAAAATAACGACTTATCATTAATTGAAAATATTTTTATTGGGGTTAAGTTGGAATTAAAGATAAATCTTTAACATTTGGTGATGGATTTTTGTAGTCACTCATTTAAATAGAAAGAACTTTCTTGTATGATAAGTAATATAATGTAGTAACCAGTTGGGATTTTCTGTCAGTTAAAATCATTAGATTTTGTTGGGACTGAACAAATTTGTTCAGTCCAAAAGTACCATCTATTGGATGTCACAAATCAGTGGACCATCGATACTTTAAATTTTATTTACATGGAATGAAAAAATCGTGGGATTTATTGAAAGCTTTTCACTGTAGTAGCTGAACAAAAATCCGAATTAAAAAATCGAATTTATTGTCATGTATGTCATCTATATAAAGCTATAAGATAATCTGTTGTGAGAGATAAATATGAATTTTCTACTCATAAATCAGATTACTATATTTGTTTTTTTGATAAGTTTAATTTAAGAGTTAATTCACGATGATTAAAAAAGAATCCTTCACCACTAAGTAATCGCTCTTTTGGGCTTGCTGTCGTGAATCGTGGAGGAATGCTATAAACCCGGTATCCAATGATCCCCGAACATTAGCACTGTCTGATGTTTTTGTTTGCACATTCCAGAGCGACATAAAGTCTCGCGTGTGTGTGTTCTCTCTTTTCTTCTTATTCCATATTGTCGTGAAGCAAAAGAGAAAGAACAACACCACGAGCTGGTATACACATGGAATTGTTGACAAAAAGTTCATCTCTTTCATCTTGTGCACTTCTTATTTGAAGTTCGTTACAATTTATCAATTTCAATTGTGTATTAAGACAAGGAAGAGCAATAAAACAAATACCATAAGCTTGTGACTTGATTAAAAGATTATTGATACTTTCATCAAGGTGACTAATTGTGTTTCTGTTGCAGCTGTGTATCTCTATGTCTTTCGCTGTTCAACGTTGGTTGCAATTATGTTTGTAAAATACAAATCATTGAAATTTAGCAGAAATTCAATGAGTATAAAGGATTGTTTGTCTTTCCCACAGTAAAGTAGACAAGACAATAAGCTCCTATTTGATCTTCAAAGACCTTGTGAATGTCAGCTTTACTTTGACTCTTACCTATGTTATACACACTACACATAATACCACACAAAATTACCTGGTAGAACGTATGCAATTCACTTGACCACTGTACTGTATGTAAGTATTTACGTATATAAGTAAAATTGACGAGTTTGTTCAGTGCCAAGTGGATCTTACACTGGCAATAAGCTCGTCAGAATTTCACAGAAGAAACAAGTATTCAAAGAAGGTAATCCATTACGTTTATTATGATTCTTTAGGTCACCAGAAGCTGCAGTAATGAGACAGAAAAATGTGGTTGACAAGGGATGACAGTGATATTTGTCATATTGATGTGACTGGATGTATGTAAAATAGTCAGTGGATGGCAAATACATAATACAATGACGACAGTGGAACAGTAGGTATGTATACGCAGGCCTCCAACAGGGGCAGGTATTGGCGCCACCTCCATCGAATGCAACGAAAGCCGACTAGAACAGACTTAGGCTTCACATATCTCTCTCTTTCATGAGCATAACCGTCTAGTTTGCACTTTGTCTTACTGCTTAACCCCCCACGCATTTGCTTCAAACACCGTCTCTCTCTCGTTTGCGCGAATTCTCTCTCATACTCCCTCTCTATCACATGCTCTTGCTTCCCTTTCTCCATCTCTGGCTCCTATTCAGTCTCTCGCTCGTACTCACGTGGTCTCGCTACACTCTCCACACCGCCGCTCTGATGCTGCTGCTGCAACTCCAGCTTGGCTCACTTACCCAACCTAACCCTCGGACCAACTTCATTCCACGCCAACTGACCACCACCGACGGCCGCCCTACTCGTTGTTACTGCTGTCATCCCGCCAAATACGAGACCCGATATCGGACGTCGCGACGCGCCGCGACGCTCATCTTTTGTCATCATTACAACTCCACTCGCTATTAAAAGATCCTGATTTCTCTTAATCTCCCCCGCCTTCATATATACCAGCAATTCCCATTTTTCCATTGAACCCCTTCTCTTGTCTTTTCCAAGTGTGCCACACTCTGGTATTCTTGTTCCTAACACTCAATACCTTCACTCTGTGCTCGTCGGCTCGATAGACTTATTTTGCAATAATTAATTATCTGGTTCTTCTTTTGCAATTTTTTAGAAAATTTTGTTCATTCATTTATTGGAGGTTTTCAACGTGTGTAAGTGGACAAGTGATAACTTCTTGATAAAAGGTGAAGAAAGTATTATCTAAAAACAATAAAAATACTGTATAAAAAATAAAAGGTAGAGGAACGAAGTGTCATAAACAATAGGAGATAACAAAGAAGGACGTATTGTGAAAGAATATGGACATGTCGGAGGATTGCTGGGACCACGTGGGATTGCTTCAAGATGTTTCGGGTCCAGAGCAACCTAGTCCTGCTGAATTAAATGCCACAGGATTTCTTTGCAATCAACAGCAGGTGAGTAAAAAATTAATGAGTTTTATTTTAAATTAGCTATTTAATTATTTGATTAATCTAACTATACATACAAAGTAATTATTTTCTTCGGGAAAAACAATGAGTGAGTAGTATGAATTAAATTATGCAAATAACGCTGAAATAAAGGGTTTATTTCCAATTAATGTGATGAAATTCTCAAGAGGTATAGAAACATGCTCTGACACTATAACCTTATGTGCTATTCAAATGCATACATTTCCTCAATCCAATATTCCAGAGCTGCTCAGAATTAATTTGAAGGAATGAGCCAGTGATCCGGTCAATTCCATGCGTCAGACACGGTACCAATTACACCGGCGACGGGTCGACGTATGCCATGTACTCGCTTTGGGACACCGTACTAATATTTGAGAGGACTGAATTATCGATTCGTGAATACGACATGAGACAGCTTTTGGGATCGTCCGTCGCTCAGGATTTCTCATGAATTTTTGAAAATTAGTAAAGGAGGAAAAAAAAACAAAAAAGGATAGTATTTTGTTTCGAATAATGTAAAAAATTTAGCAAAAAAGGTTTAATGAATAAAGAGAGAATAGTATGAATAATCGTTTATTTACTGAAACTAAATGCGTAAAGATAATGAGCGGTAATAATGATAATTGAGTACACTAGATTACAATGTTTAGATGCGTGTCGGTAGAAAAAATATCATCAAACCGGAGAAAAAGTTTGAAATTATACAATTTTGCAAACAGATATAAATGTGACGAGTCAAAATAGCATGAAAAAGAGAATAAAGTAAAGGAATAAGCGAACAAAAGGGTAAAAACTGCGATAGGTCTCGAATAGGGAGTTGTTTACGCTGCCCTGTAATCATCCCTCAAAATTATAGGTATTAGGTGAGCATGAATGAGCGGATAGGAAAGTTTAAGAAGATATCGGTGGCATCGGCGCGCGTTAGGGGCGCGTGCAGGTCCTCGGGCCGTTCGGCTCCCTCGCACGCACCTGCTTTCTTTGGGCTTTTATCTGTCTTTCTTCTTCACCATTCAGTAACCAGATACTCGCCAGATAATCCTCAGAGGCATTTATTGTCTTCAATATTTTCATGTTCAAGTATTTTTCTGTAATTACTTATCAAACCTGATGACACAAACACTCAGGCTTATTACAGTTTCAATAGTATGATATCGTCGCGGTTTATCTTTTAAAAAACTTATTACTGCTGCTTCTCGCACCTTTTTACATGTAGAAACATACCAAAATTTACAGAAATGCGACACAACCGGCTTATCAACTCAAGAAATCACTTGCAGGTGCTTTTTTTGTTGTCGTCGTCATCATCATCATGCCGTACAAAGTATAGCTAAAATGTTTTGATCATCATCAGCTTGATCATTACTAGTTTCATTACTGAAGATTTTAAAAGGCTCATTATTTTGTTTATTAATTATTTTACATTTATTTGATTGCTGAAGTGATGAATTTTGAATTGGTTTATTTTTTAAACTTCACTCAAATGTATTTCAGTACAATTGAATAAAATGTAATCTTAATTAAATACGATTTTTTTAATGCACAAGTACTCTGCTTATTTCAAATCCAAGTTATTTTTTATATCGACAAATAAATATTTTTTGGTTTTATTTTTATTCAATAAATTCTTCATATTTATTATCACGTTCAAAATGTTTTGTTGGAAAATTTCAATTTGTCCCAACATTTTTCGTTCTCCAACAATTTATTTGGAGAACTCCAAATATGTTTAATTGCTATTTCTTCATGACACGC